GGGTTTTTTTTTTTTTTTTTTTTTTTTTGTACCAGGGATTGAACTAGGGTCCTTTCCGCGCACCACTGAGTTATATTCCCGGCCTGTTTCTAGGTTTGGGTTTAGACACTGCTGAAGTGCAGGGACCTGTCTGCTTATGACAGGATGACCCTCACCATTGAAGAACACACAGCATCATCCTCAGGACCAAGCAAGCTCTGGTTAGGGCCGTTTAGGTAGAAAGGCCCCAGATCCACCCACAAGGGTCTATGGAATTGTCAGGGCTGGAGTTTCAGTGTCACATTCTTGAAGCCCAGAAATATCCCCAAGATTCAGATTTGATCATAATTCCTTGCTTAAACACTTTGAAGCTAGGCATGGTGGCACACCCTTGTAATCATATCTACTTGGGAATTTGAGGAAGGAGGATTGCAAGTTCGAGGTCAGCCTGGGTAACAGCAAAACTCTTGTGTCAGAAAATAAAAAGGACTGGAGATGTATCCTAGGGTTGATCCTTAGTACTGCAATAAAACAACAACAACAAAAACTTTCAGTTTTTGCCCTGGTTGTCAAAGGGCTGTTATATATTAGTTATTTGGAGAACTTGGTAAAAGTACAGATACTGGGATCCCATCCCAGAAGTTTTGATTCACTGAGTCCCACTCTTATGTATGTCTAGGAACTTGTGTATCTTTTGAGGAGGGTACTGGAGATCAAACTCAGGACCTTGCACTTGTGAGGCAGGTGGCGGAACCACTGAGCTAAATTCCTGGTACCCATGTATCTTTTTTAATAGCCCCATTTGATTTGGATGTGTGTCTGGGTTTGGGAACCATTGGATAAAATGTGGCCCAAGGTCCTTAACAAATGCTTACAGAAGTGGTTCTAAAAGTGTGGTTCCCAAACCACCAGCAGCATGACTTGGGAGTAGTGCTGGTTATGGTGGCACATACCTGTAATCCCAGCACTTGGGAAGCTGAGGCAAGAGGATTGCCAATAGTTGCAAACCAGTATGGGCTACATAGAGAGGTCAAGGCCAGCCTGAATTACAGAATGAGACTCTGTCTCAAAAACAAGAAAGGCCGGGCGTGGTCATGCATGCCTGTAATGCCAGCACTTGGGAGGCTGAGGCAGGAGGATCACTGAGTTTGAGACCAGCCTGGGCTACATAATGAGATCCTGAGTTTGATCCTTGTACCAAAAAAAAAGGAAAGAGAAAGATAGGTAAATACTGTAAATGACTCTGATCATAATAAATAAAGTTTGAGATCTCATACCTCACTTGTTTCCATTTCTGCCTTAGTTTTTATTTAAGATCTTACACCCCTTGCACACAGCACATGGGGCCTTGGAGTATGTGCTGCTATAGCACGCACATGCACATGGATCCTTGGGACTTTTCATGCTGTTTCCTCTGCCTCTCAGGCTTTCTAACACTGCACTATGTTAATTTCATCTTTTAAGAATCAGCTAAATTGCTGGGCACACTGGTGCACACACCTGCAATCCAACTATCTGGGAGGCTGAGACAGAGGATTGCAAGTTAATAGGCTAGCTTGGGCACCTTAGTGACACCCTGTTTAATACAAAAAATTAAAATGGCTAAGGTTATAGCTCAGTGTTCCCTGGGCTCAGTCTGTAGTTAAATAAGGTTAAATAAACAAACAAATAAATGGACATGCCTGTAATCCTAGCACTCTGGAAGGCTGAGACAAGCTCAAGTCCAGCCTGGCCAGTTTAGTGACTTAGCAAGACCCCATCTCAAAAAACAAACCGGGGCTGGGGATTTAGCTCAGTGGTTCCCCTGCCTGCCTCACAAGCGTAAGGACCCAAGTTCAATCCCCAGTACCAAAAAACAAACAAACCAAACAGGAGAAAAGAGGGATAGGGTTTCAGCTTAGTGCAAAAGCTCTGAGTGCAGTCAGGGTGCACGCGTGTGATACTAGGGATGGAACCCATGGGTGTGCTATCACTGAGCTCTATATCCAGCCTTTTTTTACTG